TTTTCATTTCCGCCCGACGTGACGCCAAACTACTACCTGCCGTTAACTCTGCGCGTGTTCTGCTGCACAGGCAGGCAAGCAGCTATCTGGCACCTACTATACAATAACAGTGGTCATTGCTTTTGTTGCAGGTGTTATTTACGGCTATAGTGAGCCAGTTTGTGCATTTACAGAACAATTGACTGCGCGGCGCAACATTGGACCAAGACTGCAACAAGAATATTCAGTTTGGATTTACTGCAGAAATTCTCTGGCTTGCAAGATCCTTAGTTTCTTAATCTTATCTCGGGTGGAATACCATGAATACTGGGCATAAATAAACTGAAATCGCGCATATGGATAGCGTCAACGACAACGATAGAAGCCTTTGGTGATTTTCATATTCCAAATTTCTTGGCAAATTGTCCCGTTTCGGCTGGGTGAATATTTTACTCATTCAGAATTTAGAAAAAGTGAGTACGTTGTGCGAACTCGTCCGCATGCGGACGTGTTTTATCGACGTTATCTGACACGTCAGATTATACGCGAACTGTATAAAAGAGTAGTCGACGTAGCTTTGCCAGTATGTCGGCTCCCAGCTTCTTTCTTCAGCATTGCTAATGCAATTTAACGGACGTTGCATCGAATTGAATATCATTTTTCAGTTAGAACCAGTGCGTTGTCAAAGAAGAAGAAGATGCTCGCTCACTGCTGAACTCTGTAAAAGTTTTGCGATTGCATTTTGCAATTCTCAGGCTTTATGTAAGGTAAGTTCAAAATTTTGTCTCTTTTCACACTTTCTCCACATTTTGAGAACTTTCTCGCTTAACAAATGAACAGAAATAGAAATGTGTTTCAAGCGCTCTCTGAGTTTTTCTTCCACTTCCAAAACAGCCAATTTTTAGGTGACCTCCACAAGCTCATGTGAAACATGGCGGATCTTCATCCAGGTCTTCTATTTTTGATTCTTGTTTTTGCTGTTCCTCTGCAATTCTACCTCTCACCATCTTCGAGTGCGGACATCAAATACTATCTGCAGAGGTGGGCTGATTCGAGTGGGTTCTCTCCTTCTTACCTAATTTTTGGCGATTTTGGCGAATTATCCAATTGCCAAGTAAATTACTTTTCAAATGCTGTAGTTGATTTCGCTATTCTCCACTTTTTTCGAAATTTTTTGAAGTCAGGAAAATGGTTGTGTGATCACAGTTTTCCCTCACAGTAATGGTCACACAATCCATTGTTTGTTCTTTTTCAGTATCACTTACCATAGCTGCTCCTTATTATAACGATCACTTTTCAGTCTCACCGATTCTATCATCCTCACTGCCGAGAATTATGGTATACATCTTCCCTTTGTGCACATAAGGAAAGGCCCCAAGAAAGGGGTTGCTCCTGACGGTGGCGATGAAGACATTGTTGACGATGAGGAGCGGAAGGTCTCCGCATCGTACGGAAGTAAGTTACGGTTACATCTAGTTTTCATCGCTTTGATGAGTCGTTTAAGATTCGCTACAGACGCGGGAGCGAGCTCCTCATCTGAAGTGGAGGGTCGGTCAGGTCATCAAGCATAAGGTAGGTCAAGCTTTCAGCTTTGGCCATCCTTACCTCACCACTATTAACCGAATTTACCCCTATTACCGTGTTACCAGTGCCACCGCTGTTACCGTTGCCTGCTGTTGTCATTTTCAATGTTCCTAACATGTTGTAACCAATGTTGTTCCGCTTCGAACGAATACATTGCAATTTCAACTCCATACTTGCGAGCGTGAAATGATGAGTTTTTCTGAAAAGTTCATCAAGAAAACAGCCAAAAGGCTAAGGCCTCCAGCCATTGATCACGTAGAGAATTAGAGTTTTAAGATCTTATCTTCATCCAAAGCGGTAGACCGGTAAAAATGGTGTTGAAAGGACAACAGTAACGCTGGTAACACGGTAATGTATACAGAAGCCCAACTTCTTTTGCTGTTAATCATATTGGTCAATTTTCTACTTTCCGCTCATCAAATAGTAAGCTTTAGATCTTACACTTTTGCGTTTGAACTGTCATTTTACACCATTGTTCAAAGTCATATATGCAGTTACCGATCTTTTTTCTCAAGGTGAATGGCTATCGTGCTGTGATTGTCGGTTGGGATCTGACCGCGAAAGCATCTAAGGAGTTCTTAGAAAGAGTACATAAGGGTGATCAGGTAAGATCACTTCGTATATGCTTTATTCATTATCTTAAATATGATTTTTAGGATAGGATCAACAGTCCGCATTATGCAGTGTTGATAGACGTACGGGACCGTCTAGTGCCACAGCTCGGTTACATTCATCAGGATAACATAGAACCATATGCGGGAAGGATTATTCATAATCTAGTCAGTAGTTATATGGAGAGGTACGACGAATCAAAGCACAGGTGAGCATTTCATGGTGCGTTGCTTACTTGCACAGGTCTGTTCTTATGCCTCCTAAGTATAAGTTTCGCTTTGAATCTTTATATTCTGTGATCTGCTTCCACTCTTACTCCACTGCTTTCTGAAAGCGTTGCTTCAAAGGCAGCGGCTCGGCAGAATTTTGTTTGCCAGTTTTTCACCTTTTCGGGATCTTCTCCGTGAGGAACCCATATCTGAGCTCTTCTCCGCATGAGAATGGCGAAAATGAGCTTTTTTGAATGCTTTTCAGGGGCGGTATGTATCAATCTCCCGCTCCCTGTTCGG